GGCTCGCGCGGCGGCTGGTCGGGCACCAGGCAAGCTGTGTGGGATGGGGGCTACCTGCCGGCGGTGCGTGACGGGCTGTCTGTCCCAGGTTTCGCTGGCACCCCGGGATACCTCTCCCCCGAGGTGCTCCGGAAGGATCCCTATGGCAAAGCCGTGGACCTGTGGGCTTGTGGTAAGTCAGACCAGGGCTGAAACGCCGGGAGCAGGCTGGGCTGGGCTGCACGGGATGAGGCAGACTGTTGATCCAGCATGTCCCAAGTTGCAGTTGCTAGACAAGCCTCGGGGAGGTCAAGGTGGAGGATTTACCCAAGAGGCGGCACATTACCCTGGGCTGTCCCCAGAGCGGCACCCTCTTTCCCAGTCCCGTGGCACCCTTCTCTGAAGGATCAGCCTCCTTGCTATACACCCAAAGCCCCCAGGCAGGGGAGATGCTGGCTCTTCTGCCCTGCGGTGCCCTTGGATTCAGGCAATGCCTCCACGTAGCTGCAGCCAGAGGGAAGCCTTCTTCCACCAGCGGTGGGGAGGAGGCATCGCCCAGCCCTGATGGGGCACCTGGCTTGAGGCTGTGCATGGTGGCTGCCAGAGCCATGTATTTCCCCAGCCGCTGAGCACGTCAGTGTGGAGCTGGACCCACCAGCGAGCCTTTTGCTTTTTAATCAGGGAGCAAATCCTCCTGTTTCCCTAATTTCTCAATTTCTCTGCTTGAGTTGGGCCAGTCCCCAGGCTGGGTCTGTTCATACCTCCAGCAATGAACTCTCTCTTACTGATCTCACATCTCCTCGCCCGGGCAGGCGTCATCCTCTACATCCTGCTGGTCGGGTACCCGCCCTTTTGGGATGAAGACCAGCACCGACTCTACCAGCAGATCAAGGCTGGGGCTTATGATGTGAGTGGGTTTGTCTTGCTTCCCCCCTTTCACTGTTTCCCCTCTTCCCTGCTGTCCCTGTGTTGCAGTCTGCTGCTCCAGAAGAGCAACCAGGACAAATTCAGACAGACAGGAGCAAGTTTCTTTTCCCTGCTCTGGTCACAGAGGGTTGGCCAAGCTGCCGTGCCCAGGTGCACACACTGGCACGTTTCAGGTCCACTTTGCAGGACAGATAGGTCTTGTCCTGGGCCTTCCACCTTTCTCCCTCCACCCCTGTTCTCCAGTTTTCCAGCTGGCAGCTCTTTCCAGTTGCTACTGTCTCTCCAACCTGTCCCATGGGCAGGAGCAAAGCGTTGCAGGAGAACCAACCCAAACGCAAAAGGACTTCTGCTCCTTCCGTTGCTCCCTGCCACCTCTCACCCCGGTCCCTTTGCTTTGGCAGTTCCCCTCCCCTGAGTGGGACACGGTCACTCCTGAAGCGAAAGATCTCATCAACAAGATGTTGACCATAAACCCGTCCAAGCGCATCACGGCAGCGGAGGCTCTGAAGCACCCCTGGATATCGGTGAGTTTGGTGGCACTCACCGGTTGGGGTTGAAGGTCCAGAGATGTGGGAGTTCACGGGGGGGAACATCTCACTGGGGAGCACGTGTTAACAAACGTGCTGTCCGACTCTCTTCTCCATCCTGGGAAGATGTTTTCCTGGCATGGTTCCCCCCAGTGGTCTCAGAGCAGCCTTTTCCCCGGGGCTTTACAGCAGAGAAAAGCCTGGAGTGTGAATGCAAACAGCGTGTCCCAGGGGAGCTGGTGATGGGAGGGACACGCACATTCCCAGCCCTGGTGGGGACAGGCTGGTTTCTTGGTGTCATGCAGCGCTGGGGGAGCCTTTCCTCAGGGAGGGTGGGAGCAGGCTCGTGTTTATCCATCCATACACCCCAGCAGCAATCCCTCCCCGCCCCTCGCTGCACCCCGCTGCTCCGGCTGCTGGTTCTCACTCTCAACCAGCTCCTAAAGGCAGGAGGAGTCCACGGGCTTAACCCTGGGACCCCATACCACGTGCAAACCCTGAGCACGCTCCTAAACCTGGCCGGTCAGTTGAGGGGTTAACTCAGGGGGCAGCCAACTCTCCCTGCAAACCCCCCCCACCGCCAGAGCAGATCCTGCTGACTCCAGAGCTTCGATCTCCCGCTGCCTATTAAAGTTTTAGCTGCTGCTGCTGCTGCTGCTGCAGGCAGCTCTGGCCCGTGCCTTGGCCGCGGGAGACCGCACACGTGTACGGGCATGTGAGAGTGGGGCCGGGGGAGCCCCTTCCCCCTCGGTGCCTGCTCTGAGCCGGGTCTCTCTCCTCCCAGCACCGTGCCACCGTGGCGTCATGCATGCACAGGCAGGAGACGGTGGATTGTCTGAAGAAGTTCAATGCCCGGAGGAAGCTGAAGGTAACTCTCATAGTCTCCAAGCTGGCTGCAAAATGCATGATAAGGTCATTGGGGAGTTTGTTCCCTGAGTGGGAAAGGACAGGGTGGTGTCTCTGGGTCAGCAGTATGGGGCTGATGGGCATTTGGGGATCCCCGTTGTGAAGAAGGGAAAAGAGGCCAAGTGGACTGGTGGCTGCATCTGTCGGGGGTTTCCAAGTGCTTAGAGGAAAGCCATGGTGAAGGAAAGCACTGAGTCACACAGCTGTCCTGGACACTGAGGCAAGGACTTTCCCCTTGGAATCAGTGTAAAGAAAGCTCCTCTTTGTGGCAGGACATGGATCTGAGAGGCACAGTGAGACCCCTTTGCCTGGTGACCAAACCACGTTGCAGCCTAGGAACAAAGTCATCCATAGACAGGCAAAAAGCTCTGGCTTGGTTACCCACACCAGCAGCCCCGCAGGCTTTCCCTTTTTGGATGCTGCCGTGTGCCACAGCCTGTACGCCCTCCGCAATCACCATCTCCCCAGGCTTCACCGTCGAGCTGGAGCACCCTGAAGCACCCATCTCCTGGGTGCTGCTCAGCCCCAGCTGGCAGCACGGTGCTGGGAACGGGCTCTGGAAATCGCCATGCCTCCTCCAGAGCCGGAGACACAGCACTGTCAGAGCCATCAGCGCTCCAGGCCTGAACGTGATGTGGCACAGAGCAGTACAGCTGCAGGCTACTAACAAGATTATCAAGAAAAGAAACTGGCTATAAACTATTATTACTTTTCAGTTAGACAAGTAATCAAATTAGTTCAGGCATACACTTCAAAATAGTAATCCATTACTGTAAGCAATTAGTCCAAAGTAATCTCATTATACGCTGAGCAACTAGTTAGTAGAGTCAGCTGGAAAAGAGGAAACATTTTTATGAATGTTATTTTGCGGTGGTGATCTTTGTGTGGCTCCCATGAAAAATTCCTGCCCTGCTGCTGCTCGTAGCTGGCACGGCTTTAATTGCAATTAAATCCGGTTCCGCTCCCGGTGGCTCCCCTCCCTGCCAGCTGCTGGCCCTGGTCAGCGGAGTCGTGCTACGTCTAGGGCAGGGTAAAGCGAGACCGAAATGTGCCCCAGGGATATTTAATATCCCTTTAATCTTGGAGGGAAAGCAGTTTCGGAGAATGCAACCCAACGCCCTTGCGCTGGGGGTATGGAGTCGGGTACTGAGGGCTGCTTTTGATGACAGGAGGAGAATATCAGCCCGTGGGCCAGTTTCCTTCCAGCGAGGTGGCCGAGGGACAGGTGACGTGCAGGGCTTTCCTCCCCCAGGGCTGGGGGGAGCGGCAGGGGTGCGGGGGGCCGGGGCCCAGCACACCCTTTCCTTCTGCCTTCTGTGTCTTTCAGGGAGCCATCCTCACCACCATGCTGGCCACCAGGAACTTCTCCGGTAGGTGCCGTCTCTGGGGCTCATCTCCTTGTCTTACAGGGCGCCCAGGGCAAACCCATAGGGTCCCTGGAGAGCTGGCTTTGCCTCGGGTGTCACAGGGGGTCTGAGGTTGCAGCCTGGTGCCTCTGGGGATGCGTGGCATGGGGTGGTGGTCCAGGCCAGGTCACCTGGTACCTCCAGGCTGGCTGCTGCCTTAGGATGCAAGAGAAAAGGTGTCTGGCTGAGGCATGGCAGTCCCCAGAGGTTTAGGTTTTTGGGGTTTGCCTCCGCCCACCCATCTGGCTTGTGCCAGGGTGGGGGTGCGGGTGCTGGGGGCAGCCAGGGCTCAAGGCAGCTTGTTTTGCGTCCTGGAGGTATTTGTGGCTCAGGGAGAGCATCCTCTGCACCGGGACAGTGTCGGAAAGGTCCCCGGGTCACCGGGACATGTCGGAAAGGTCCCCGGGTGCCACTGCAGCCAGATGGCAGCAGGGTCCCTCGGGTCCCTCCCTGGGCAGGAGGGCGCTGATCCTGCAGGGCCCCCCGCTCTCCTCCTGCCTCCCTACACCCCGAGGGCTGCATGGAGACACAGGAGCAGGGACAGAGCGCGGCAGCCCAGCCTGTGCACCGGGAGAGGTCTTGGTGCAGCCACAAGCCCCCCTGCCCCGGTGCCCTTGCTGAGAGCTGTCCCCTCTGGGGACACCCTGCTGCCTCGGAGCAAGCCATGCAGCTGGGATTTCAGAGGCGGGGATCAACGGGTCCCGGCGATTCCCAGGCATGGAACCAAAAAGGAGCTGGGTGACTGCAGAGCTCATCCGCTCGCTGTCACCTCCAGCCCTCCCCAGCACTGGGGATGGCCCTGGCAGAGGTGGGACAAGCCAGCCGAGCCCGGCACACCGGCTGAGTGGGCTGGCGGGACGCTGTCGGGGTTTAACCCGGCAGCCAACGTGAAC